GCTATGGGTTGGAAGGAACTCGACAGCACTTAACAACAACAATCTTGAAGGCATTATGGTTAGACTGCTCCTTAGAAATAAGGATGGTAAAACTTTTCCCTTGTACTTTGGATATGCTATCAAGAGGAACCAGTTCCTGGAAACGGTCATCAGGCTTGGTAAAGTTGTTGATATTGTTGTTAAGTGCCACCCAGTTGGTTCCAACTTAAGACTGACCCTGTATAATAAGATTTCCAAGGCTTTAGGGGAGTAGAAAGCCTTATCTTTCTCCCATGGACCAGCTGGTGGGTTTGAACTCCCAAGCTGAAGTTAGCAGTCTAGTGCTTTTCTTACAGTGTCACCAGTGCTCCCTTGGTAAAGGGTCACACACACACAAAAAAACAAAACCCTCAGAGAGATGGCTGCAACAATGGGCTCAAACAGTAATTGTGAGGATGGTGTAGGACCGACCTCACAGTGTTTTGTTCTGTTGTACACAAGGTCACTGAATCAGAACTGATATATAATGATGGTACCCAACAACAACAAAAATAGAGACCATGACTCCTATGTTTCTCCTTCCAAAGAAGAAACAAAAAGACAAATAAATCTTCTTCCTCTATTTTGCTCTTTGAAGTGCAGGTATGTACAAGGTTAATGAACACTGACCAGCTAAAAAATTTAAACATGAAATACTCTACATTTCTATTTCTAAAAGTACTTTGTACCTTTTGAAATCTAAAAACCTCCACTTCAACCAAAAGTTTTAAAGTGAGTAAAAGTTATTTAAACTATAACATTCCATAGCTTCCCATTTATTTGCTGCAATTTATGTATGCTTAAGAATATAGTGAGAAAGAAAGCATTCTGCAGTGCAATAACTGGGGAAATGGTTTACTGTGGATGAATACGAGAAGGAAATCGAACAAGGAAAATATGTTGTATACAACTGTTTAGGAGTCTGTACACAACTTAAGGTATAGAAGTTCTATGTGTTTTATTTTAAAAAAGATAATGATTGTTAAAATAAGGAAAAAGGTAAAAAAATATTAAAGGAAGAGATTTATATTTGAAATATCCAATTAACATGAAAAACTGGTTTACAGAGATTTGACTGGTACTGATATATCTAGGATTAACTGGGGTGAACAACAAGAGAAGCAGAAAAGCGATACTTAAGGTCTGGGATAGGGCAGAGTCAAGGAGAGCATGTAGCAAGTATTCAGGCCTTTTGAAGAAACTGCTATATATTTGGGTAAATCAAAATCAGTACTTTGGAGTCAAACTTTCCTAGATTTCAACTCCTACCTCTAGCACATACTGACCGCATGACATTGATCATATGAGTTTACATCTCTAAACCTCAGGATTTTTATTTGTAAAAACTGGATTCTGTCAAGTCAAAACTAAGGTAATTAGGTTATTTCCATGATAAATGAGGTAATTCACATAAAATTTAATGAATTATAAAATTCATTATAAATATATAACATTAGATTTTATAATCCAACTAATGAAATATCATATGTAATTTATTTAATATGAAAGATGTTAATATTTAAGTCATCTTCTATAGGTGACAGGAAATGGTTTTAGGATTCACTTAAAATGAAAAAAATTAAAAGACAACTATAAGCAAGGAGGTAAAGAAGACCAAGAAAGCCTTGATAAGCACACATGTATAAGCATGTACACATGTATGCATGCACACAAGCACCCCTATTAGCCATGCCAGGACTCAAGAAGCAACCATTCTGATCAACTTGGTTTAATAACAGCTCTCCTTTGAAAGTCTCCTTTTCCTAACTTGATCCCCAGTGTTTTACAAACTGTATCTTTGTCATTTTGACAAGATACATTCCATATGAAAATAAAGGATCTAATTAATGATTTTCTTAAGATTATATTAAGTTGTCTTTTGATATGATAATGTAATTTAAAATGTGAATGTTCACTTCAACAAGATCCTAAATAATAATATTCAGTAATTTAAAGCAACATGGGTGTGGAAAAAATTTGTTTGGCATTAGTAAAACATTTACAATCATAAAGCCTTCACAAATTAGTTTGTGAGTTTCATTATGAATACTAATTGATATTACTAGGAAAAAATATAAAGAAAAGAAATTAGAAAATAATTGGAATGGAAACAATTCTAATGAGTATTGTGTAAGCAGTCTCCAAACATCATTAAAAATAAAACAAATAAAAAAATACTGTTAACTTTTACTAAGTCCAACTAAAAGCATAAGAAATTTCACATATATATATCTGAATTCGATTCTATTCCTGAAGTGTGGCTATAACTAGGCATCATTTTGTTATCAATCATTCTTCACAGGGAGAATATGACTTTCCTCACCTATGCATGTCAGCAAGCTTGGACAGGACACGAGCAGCATTACTGAAACTCCTGTTCTTCTCATAATATCGCCACAGTAAATCCATATAACGGACTTTGTTTTGATCAATCTTAGCCATTCGGACCAGATGTGGCTCCAGAAATGGAGAAGCAATCTGAAAATTGAACAGTTTATGCAGACACATTTTCCAACCACCAAGTTGCTTTGTACTAAGAACAATATTTTAAAGACAAATAAAGAGATACCTTGCTTTATGAAAACAAAACTCTTAAAAGTGTTAGACAAAAGAAAGGGTAATGTTTCTCATTATAAATATTTTTATTTTATATTAGTTAACATGAGTGCTTAGAACAAAAAATAATCTATTATACACCAATTAAAAATATTTTAATAAGCTTGGATAACATAGCTTTTGATCCATAGACTCTGAGATCAAAAGGGTCATTAAAATTATCAATTGCCATGTAGTCACCTTCAGGCTGAGGAACACTGAGACATAACATAATGAAATGACATATTTAAGGTTACAAAGGTCCTTAGCGGCAGAGAAAAGACAAAGGTCAGGTTTTCTAATTAACAGTGGTTTTTACTTGATAGTCTATCAGCTTTCAGCCAACAGCTTCTAAATTAACTTCTGAATAACAAGAATATTAGAGCAGCAGTCTTTCTCCATCAGAAAGATGCTCAATGATTTGGCTTTCCACTCACACGGAATGGTAGACACAGGATAAGAAACTGAATTTCCCAGAACTATGTCCTTGGGGAGTGCAGTGTTTCATAGGATAAACGCTGGACTGTAAACCACATGGTCAGTGGTTTGAGCTCATCAGCTGCTCTGTGGGAGAAAGATGAGGCTTTCTGCTCCCACAAAGATTTACAAGCCTTGGAAACCCTATACAGAGTCACTATGAGTCGGAATGACTTGATGGCACTTCACAACAACAATATCTGTGTCCTTATGAAGTCCTAGTAGAGTAATGGATTAAGAACTGGACTACTAACCGCAAGGTCAGCAGTCTGAATCCATTAGTTGCTCCTTGGAAGAAAGATGAGGCTTTCTGCTCCTGTAAAGATTTACAGCCTCAGTAACCCTATACAGTGCCACACTATGATTCATAACCAACTCGGTAACACACAACCTATATCCTTAACATACTAAGTTATGCTACTTATGTAACAAATAAATGATATGGCAATTTAAAAAATCATTTTTTACCTGTAGCAGCTTGTCTGCAAGGTCAGCTTGTATTAGCCAATTATAAAGGGCAATACTAAAGAGCTCATCTTTAGATCGCTGAGCCAATTTAAGCATTTGTTCAAACTAAAATAAAGAAAAGATGAAAAATTAGCATATAAGCTCTGACGATGGGCATCACAACCCCGTAATCTTATAATACCCTTGTAAGAAATACAGGATCCTCAAGTGGTAACTTTTAAGAGATACTACCATTCCAAAGATGCTCACACAACTGCCACCACATGGAACTTATCAATAAAATGTACTTTAAGAAGATAAATATGTTATGTGCCTTACATGATGTCCTGCTTCTTCATTACTCAACATATTGGGATCAGATGACAACACTGGAGGACCAGGTTTTTTGGGTACACTGGGAGACTGAGGAGCAGCCTTACTTTGATTTACCAGCTCTTGCAGTGTATCTGTAATGCACTTGTAACTGTTTAATCTGAAAGAGAATGGTTTGTTATTTTCCTGATCTATTTAAATACTTAATTTGCAGATTATTTTGAAGACTATGTGTATACACGTAGTATTAAAATAATGCACATTGCATATATTTTCAAACCAAGAGGTTTTGAGAGACTTTTTTAAACACAAAAGGGTAAAGCCATAAAAAGGAACAAATTAACCAAATAAAAAAAAGTATCTTAGGTTACATATTTCTTTTCTGATATACATTTTCCTCTATAGCTTAATATAGGCTCTACTACTTTGTGAACATTTAAAACTTATCTGTTAGAATAAAATACCCATCTTACAAAGCTGACGATCTGCTAAGGTAATACAACTTACCTCTCTTGGAAAGCCTGCAGTCCTACTATGTCCTCTTCTGGCTCTCCATGTTTATAGAAATGAAGTCCAAGACCCTGAGGGTCTTTTTTCTCGGCAGCAGTCAGAGAGAGCTCCACCACACCCTCATAAAAACGCACTAATGGGAAAGAAAAAGAACCAAGATTTATGGCTTATTACTAAGCTGGGTGCATTTCTCCTTCGTTGGAATATATAAACACTGCTTAAGATTATGCCTCTATTGTACATTAGGCATCCTGGTGATATCATTATATATAATATTCCTGAAGACCACCAAAGAATAAGGTTCTAAAATGTAAAAAAGTCAACCATTAAATATTTTCTTCACTTAAAAAAAAAAAAAGTCCTATTTAAAATAACTAAAGGAAGGCTTTAACTCCTTTATTGGGAAAAATAACTCTGGCTCCTAAAATTATACCTGTGTTAATATTGTGTCTACATTATGGTAAATTTGATTTAAAGTAATTTTTAAGGACACAGGTAAAATCAGTCAAAAAAACTTTGGCGTTTTAGAAATAAATATAACCTATGAAAGAATTTTATAGTAGCTTTATTAGACTAGATCCAAAAGTCCAATGTTAGGAAATTACACGTTGGGACAGAAAAACCACAGTAAAGCTTTTGCAGAGACCACTGTAGTTACTAAACACAAAATGACATTCTAACATCTTATTACTTGAATCAGTGTAGTTGAAGAAAAACTTGTCTCTGGTCAGATTCTCTTCATTACTAAATTCTTCTATTCACTCAAGTTATGAGTGAGTTAAGAAGATATGAAGAACATTTTGTTTCTCACCTTGTCTATACTGAGCACAAACACTGGAAAGGTCCACTTGATTGCTGATTTTCTGATACTCCTTTAATGATTCCCTTAACATTCTTTCCTTTTCAATCTTACTTTGAATTTGTCGGGAATGTTGAAGTAGTTCATTTGCCTAGAAGTAGAGAAGATAAGAACTTAAAATGATATAAAATCAAGCAGACAGAGGATGCGTTCAACATATTTTTAGTCCAAGTCTAAAAATTTACATCTGGGTTATTCCCATGAAAAATGAAAACAACTCTACCAACTTACTTCTTTTTAATTTTAGGCAGAAAAGTTTTTGACCAAAAAATCCTAGCTATTCTTAATTCCTTTCATAAATATGTTAGGCAAGATACGTTTTGTCTGGTAAATCTCTTGCCTAGTCAATACATTATTGGTCAGCAGGTAGTCCGTGATTTTTTATTTTTTCCACCTGTAGGAAAGGATCGATAAAAATTGCCCCATTAAGTCTAATTCATTACAGATTTAACGTTTTAGTGATTTTCCTTAGTTTCTAAGAAGAAAGACATGCCTAAGCCTTTAAATATATAGATTAAAATACTACCAAAGATGCATGACCTTAATTTACAATTATGAAAGACTTACATAGATAACGTCTTTAAGAGATCATGAGGAAGACTGTGAGGTGAAGAGATGCTAGCAGACCCACCTAGGGTCATATAAAAGAAGTAGGTTCCTCATTCTCATTCTACTGGTCTTTTCAGCATACCATGATACCTCCTCTAAGAATCACTTAAATCAGTAACAGGTCGTCCTACCTTAGAACAAATGGCATCATCAGTGCTATACAGAAGTGGGCAGATATCCTGTAAGTGTAAACTAATGCCATCAACAGCAGCATTGTCTCTGATGTAGCAGTTGATAAGAGAAGCGATCAATGCTCCTGTCAGTTCTTTGTCCCTGATTACCAGATCTTTGAAGGTAGTGATCTTCAACTGCTCTTGAAATTCCTAGAAATGTAAGAAGAAAAAAAAAATTTTTTTTAACCAAAAACATAGAACTAACACTTTTCCACATAAAATGAATTCTTTTAAATAATTCAATCTCCATGCTAATAGCTTCTATAATCCAAAAGAGAACACATGACTGAAAACAAAGTAACAAAAATTTTGCATACTCATACAGTATCACACAGAGCTGGGAAGAACCCATAGAAAGTCTAGTCTCTCACTTACAAGAAGAAAAGCTCAAGTAGAGTAAAAATCAGAGCTAGGAAAAACAATCACTTGGCTATATAAAAATTATTGGGCTTATGTATTTTATTTTTCCTATACCAGGTCAGTTTGAATCGCAAGGTCGGTGGTTCAAACTCACGAGTCGCTCCTTGGGAACCCTATATAGGGTTGGTAAGTCAGAACCGATTGGACAGCACTTAACAATAACAATAAAATCATGTTAGAATTTATTATTTAAGGCTTTCTAACACTGAAGTTCAAACTGCATTTCAAGCAAATTTCTATGTGCAAAAATGCGGTTCTAACATATTAAGGGGAATTTATACTATAGTGAAATATTCTGTTAAGTGATTAGACTGCTAAAACTTTTTTCTAAATTTCTGCCAATATCCAATGAGAGTTCACATTTTTAGACTAATCTTTAATTTGCATTCCTTTCACTTAACATCACAAGAAAGGAAAATTAAAAGATGCCTAGGTAAAAAAACCTACCTCTATTATATTAGTGCTAAATAAAATTATCAATATTCTTCTTGGGATGGGAATGAAAAAGTCTCAACAGTTAAACAATAATAATGCGTTTACAAACAAGAGAAAAATAAAATGTTCTTGAACAAAACTACGAACAAATTATTTATTGCAAAGTGATGGAAACAAAAGAAAGGAATGACAACTAACCTTGAAAATGGGTTTTAAAAGTAATTTTAGCACAACCAAATAATACCTCTAGATGGTAAGAGGAAGATGCTTTGTTTGTTTTGTTTTTAAGAAATGCTGCCGCAAACATTTACAGCCTTGGAAACCCTATACAGAGTTGCTAAATGGCACAACAAGAAAACCTAATCACGTTTCTACAGAAGGACACCAGGAAGCTGAAGGACAATCAGAGTGTGGGATCTGCTACAGAATTAACGACTTGATTTCTATCGAGCACAAGAAGGGTGGGGGGGCTAGTGAGGAAACCATTTAGATCTTGGTTTGAAGAAACAGACATTTTCAAGGCAGAGAAATGTCATTACAGATTAGATTTTATATGCTTCCAAAGAATTACTATTATTTCTTCTAAAGTATGATAATAACGTTACTTAAGAAAATGTCCACCTTCATTAAAAAAAAACTACATACTAAATTATTTAGGAGTGAAGTAGCATGATGTCTGGAATCCACTGTAAAATAATTCATCAAAAAAGAAAAAACAAAACAAAAACAAGGGGAGGCTAGATCAAGATCAAGTAAAATCTTGACAGTGTTGAATAAGTAAAATACATTGTTGTGTATGTCTGAAAACATTCACAATTAAATAAAATGTAGGTGTATATTTCCCTCAAGTGTTACATTTAATAGTTAAATGAATGGAAATTGTAATTATTAATTATATATGAATCCTTCATTTTACAAAATCGTAAACATCTTTAGTCAAAAAGAGTGGTTTCATTTGTTGTTGTTCAGTGCCAGAGCCATAGCGTCACTAGATAGTGTTTCCAAGAAATATTTGGCTAGTGGATTTGAACCACCATCTTGAGGTTCAAACCGACCTCACAGAGCAGTGCATTATCCATCAGTGCCACACCAAGTTGACAGCCTTGAAATTATGTTTCATCAGCTCCCAAAGGGATCTTGGTCCAAATAAAGGTTATAATCTACTGTTTTAAAAAATGTTCGGTAGAGTACAATTTAATTTGCACCTACTATAAAATTCTCATATACGTCCAAAGTACGTGAGACTAAGCCTCTCCCACATCCTTGATTCTAAGGAGCATTCTGGTTGTACTTCCTCCAAAAGATTGGCTTGTTCTTTTGGCAATCTATAGTATTTTAATATTCCCTTCAACTCCATAATTCGAATGTACCAATTCTTCTATGGTTTTCCTTATTCACTGTGCAGCTTTCACATGCATATGAGGCGACTGCAAATTCCATGGCTGGGTCAAGCACACCTTAGTCCTCAAAGTGACATCTTTGCTCTCTAACACTTTAAAGAGGTCTTTTGCAGCAGATACGTTCAATACAAAATTCTCTGGATTTCTTAATAGCTGCTTCTATGAGTGTTAATTGTGGCTCTTCATGAGATGAAATCTCTGACAACTTTAATATGTTCTGTTTATCATGATGTTGTCTATTCATCCAGTTGTGAGGATTTTTCTCTTCTCTATATATTAAAGGCTGGTGTGGTGCCATAGGATAAGCACTTGACCTCTAAGTCTGTTTGAATTGCAAGGTTAGTGGTTCAAACTCACCAGCCGCTCCTCGGAAACCCTATACAGCGTCACTACGAGTTAGAACCGACTCGACGGCACACAACAATAAGTCTTCGATATCATCAGTAACTATTTCAAGTCCTCTTGGCTGTCAGGAAGCGAGACTGTGCCATTTGCATACCACAGGCTGTTAATGAGTCTTCTTCTAATCCTGATGCCACGTTCTTCATATAATCCATCTTCTTGGATTATTTGCTCAGCATACAGGTTGAATAAATATGGTGAAAGGTTATAATTCTGTTGCACACCTTTCCTGATTTTAAACCTCACAGTAAAACCTTGTTCTGTTCAAACTACTCTCTCTTTGTCTATGTAGAAGTTCTAAACGAGTAAAATTACCTGTTCAGAATTACCATTTTCTTTGCAATGCTAGTCATAGTTTGCTACAATCCGTACAGTCAATTGCCTCTCAAAAAAAGAATTTTTTTCATATACACTGTAGAAACTTTGGGCTTTGACATAACGTTTCTCCCCTAAAGTTACCTTGTTTTTGTAAAATCTTCTTACAGCACACTAACTTATCATAACCTAAATGCTTCCCAAAGTAATTACCTCCCAAGCTCACATATAAAATTAAAGTTCAATCAAAAAGATACAATCAAGTGTAGTAATACCGAATGTTCTTAAAAAATAAAACAAAAAACTCACCTTTTGAAGTTCTCCTACAATGACTGTGAATTGATGTTCACAAAGAAGTTTCCATAAAGCCAGAGCCTGGTATGACTTTCGAACCAATTGCTGGATTCCCTGAAGTGAAACTTTTTCACTCAGTTGGGCCTCTAATGACAAATTACAACTAATGAAGTTTTATAAATTTATTAACTAAAACAAAATACTATAAAGTCCCCACTGTTCCCTTTTGTCTCTTTGCCCAACATAGACAACAGTAATCATGAGTTTTATTCGTGTTTCATTCCTTTATTTTATATGTACTTATGTGCATCCACATAAATAATAAAAATATTGGTTTCTAGTAATTTAAAACTAGCTTTACAAAAGCAACTTGCTTTTTCCAGTCAGTTATATTTCCCTAGGCTATTCAAATTGATAAATATAAATCTATCATGTTTATTTTAATGGGCTTGAGTGCTCCATTATGAAAACACAATTTTATTTATTTATTGTCTATCTTGGTGTGGCACTGTACGATCAGCACTGGACTGTGAATCACAAGGTCAGCAATTCAAACCCACCAGGTACTCCCTGAAAGCCCTATACAGGGTAGCTATGAGTCGGAACAGACTTGACGGCACTTAACAACAACACTGTCTATCTGGAGTCCTGGAGTGGCACTGTAGGATAAGCACTAGGCTGCTAATCACAAGGCTGACGATTCAAACCCACTAGCTGATCGTCGGAATCTTCTTTAGGGTTGCTATGAGTTGGAACTGACTAGAATTCACTTAACAATAACTTAACAACAACATTGTCTATCTGAAAGGTACTGAGATTAATTAAAATGTTTTACTACTATAAACTATGTTTATTAAACAATCTTTAAAAAGGTTTTGTACAAGACAGAGTTAGATTTTTCTAACACTGAGTTTCTCAAAGCCTGGATTGAGAATCAAGGATGGTCATGAACTCAATTTTGTCTGTCAGGACAGCTGTTTTTATCCTCCTCTAAATAGGAAGTGCTGCTGTTGATGTGTACTGCCAAATCAGTTCCAACTCATACCGACTCTGTATAGGGTTTCTGAGGCTGTCTTTATGGGAGCAGAAAGAACAGAATCAAAAAAGGAGATATCAGAGTATAAAACAGGGAGTTATTTCATGAAACTGTTTCAGTTGTATGAGATTCATATATACTTTGATATATTTGGATCATATTGTACAATGTTATTTCTTACTGGAGGACAACATTTAATAAAGACTTCTCTAGCACGTACTACAAAGAAGTAAAACTGTACGATTTGAATATATACACATTTCAACAAGGAGATTTCAAAAAGTTTTTAAATTCCATTTTTCCATGAAATTTTTGAAGCCCCTTGCATTATCAAATTGTTCTCCAAAATGGTTGTTTCAGTTTATACTATTAGCAATTCAAATATTCTCCTTTATACAAATTTAAGGAGCCCTAGTGGTGCTGTAGGATAAGCAATGGACTGCTAATTGGCAGGTCAAATCCAACAGTCACTCCATAAGAGAAAGATGAGGCGTTCTACTCCCATAATGATTTACAGCCTCAGAAACCCTATATGGGGTTGCTAAGAGTCTATTTCAACTGAATGGGAAGGATTTTATACAAATTCTCACCAGTGCTTGGTAAAGTCAGGCTTAATAGGCCTTACTGAAAGTACCATTAACAGTTCTTAAAAAACATAAAGTTACATGATGGAAAGAATACTACATCCAGCAGCAAGAGAAAAAAGTAGCTTGGGAGAAAACCAAGTGGCTGAGCTTTAAGTAGAAAGTTTTAACAGCCAGAATATTTGGCTCAAATGCTAGGAGACAAAAGAACTTAGTGTCTCACTCTGTTGTGCACAGGCTGACTATGAATCAGAATCGACTCGATGACACATAGCAACAAGAAGTGGCGCAGTGAGTTAAGTGTTGAGCTGCTAGCCACTAAGCAGGAGAAAGATAAAGCACTATGCTCTCTCAAGATTTACAGCATCATAAACACTAGCGAGACGTTCTACTCTCTCCTATAGGCTCAGTAGGAGTACAAATTCACTTGAAGGCAGTGGGTTTGGCTTGGTTTTCGGGTTAGTTCAGTTCACCTTTTAAATCTGTAGTTCTATAAAATGGTGTACACTGTGGTGGGGGGAGGAAGAGAAATTTACAGGCTGAAACAGTTATTGAAATAAATGGATAAGGAGAAAGTTGAATTATTGCAATAATGTGGTTTTCTAATATCCATATTGCCCATTTTACCAGTCACAATGATGATATTTTAACAAAAAATCTGTTTTCATACGGCCTAGATCTTATTGAGAGCAGTCCATTTTATTTCTGTTCAGCTAATAAAAATTCTTTTCTTCATGTTCATCATGTGCATCTAATGGACGAGAACTAAGGATTTACCATGAAGCTTCCTCTGCAGCTCCTGTTGCATTTGCTGGGTGTTTCCATTTTCAGGACGCATGAATCCCAGCAGCCTCTGCTGCACTTTAGCAGTAGTACTGAAACAGAATTGCATAGGATCTTTTAAAAAAATTCTTGACATATAATTCATATCACACAATTCATCCATTAATACAATTTACTGTATTTCAACCAATTCTCAGGGTTGTACAACCATCAACATTTTGGTCATTCCTACCCACAACTCAAACGCCCTTCCAACACCCCTACCTGAACCAATAACTAATCTGGTTTTTTGCTCTATAAATGTCTATTGACCACATTACATACAAATGGACTAGAATTTGTTTTAACTTTTTTATTTTTTCCTTTTTAGACTAGTGAAATACTGGTAAATTAGTAACAAATTAAAACGTAAACACTTAAATCTCTCAGTTTAAGTTTCCCTTAAATTGCTGATGTCCCCAGATCTTGCCACACAACAGGCCAACCAAGTCTCCACCCAGGTTCACAAGAGTCTATTGAGCATTGTAAAAGGCTTAGCTCGCAGCTTCGTTGTTGTTTTCTTTTCCTCTCACTTCCCCTTACTGGTGACGAAAGTGGTCACCATTCAGAGCGTGTGTTCTCATTGAGAGCTCTTGCTTTTTGCCAGTAACAGTGATGCATAAGTCCTACTTAACGCAGGAGAAAGAGGAGATCGTCTGCTCCCTCCATGATTGACAGCCTCAGAAACCTTAGGAAGTAGTGTTACTCTGTCTTACAGGGTCACTATGAGTCAGACTGAGTCAGCAGCAGTAGCTTACCACTCACAATCCTACAAATATGACGAAATTTACAGATGAGGAAAGTTCAGGACAAAACAAAAGAAGCAAAAATTCTGTTATAAGAAATTACTTATCACTGAGAGAAGTGAACAAATTAGAACAGATATTGGAAAGTCTTATCTTTCACAACTTCATGGATGATACAAAAATTGGATGAACTCACAGAAATTTAAAATGGACATTTAGTCCACTACAGATTATATATTACACACATTATACTTTGTCATTAAGTGCCATTCAGTCGGTTCCAACTTACCGTGCACCCTATGTACAACAGAACAAAACACTGTCTAATCCTGCACCATGCTCACAATTGCTGCTACTGGAGCGGAGGTCTCTGGGATCATCAAGGGAGAAGAGAGGAATGCAGGACCCTACCCAGAGAAGCAGTGACGCCAGAGATGGAGACAGAGACAATGACGTGGAGAGATGGAGCAGATGGGGACTTTAGACATAGAGAGGGAGAGGGGTTGTGTGCTGAGGACTGGGGGACACGCTTGCAAGGTATATACCCTTTGTTTGGCTGATGATGCATGGAGGGGATTGTAACCACGGCAATGAAAAGATATACGATAGGATGAATGTAAAGCTAATGTTCTCCCATGTAAACTATCACATTAATTCACAATAAAACATTAAAAAAAAAAGGAGGAATGGAGGCAAACAGGAAGTAGGATATGCAATGTTACAATGTGGGGATTGTAGTCAATGGCATGAAACAAAAGGTGTATGAATCGTTGAGTAGAAAACTGATGATCTGCTCTGTTCTCAGTTCACAATAAAATGTTAAGAAAATAAATAAATGGCAAAAAAAAAAAAAAATTTATGAGAGCAGAAAAGTCATCTTTCTTCCTTAGAGCAAATCTGCATTCAAACTACTGACCTTGCCTTGTAATCCACTATGCTACCAGGACTCCTAATGGAATACTGCTATTTGTTGATGTTACATGCCGTCGAGTCAGTTCCAACCCATAGCAACCCCGCATAGGGTTTCCAAGGAGTTGCTGGTGAGCTTGAACCACCAACCTTGTGGTTCAAACGGACATTGTAGCCTGGCACATTAACCCACAGTGCTAAACCAGGACTCCAATGGAATACTACTCAGTAATAAAATGGAATGAACTATTGATCCTTCAATAATATGGGAGAATTTCTACTGTATCATGCTAAGTGAATAAAGTCAGACACAAAAGGCTACCGACAGCATGGTTCCATTTAAGTGGTTGTCTTAAGCTAGGTTTTCTAGAGAAGCAAAACCAGTGATACATACTTATGTGTATACATAAAAAGCAAAGTTTATTATCTTACAATTGTAGAGTCCCAGTTCCCAGCAGAAGAAAGAAGAGAGTCCCTCCCATGTATCCATTATATTGGGAGCAGGCCACACCTCCAAGGAAGCATTCCTTCAATTGACTGGCTGCTCACAGTTGCTCCACATAGAGTTAACTGTGCCTGTATTAGGCTTCATCACCATGAGAATAAGCACATCTCAAGTGCTAAACCTCTGGAAATCCTGGCCTAGTGGAGCTGACACAGAAACCCAATCATTACAGTGATATTCTTGCAAAGGCAAAACTACAGGGACAGAAGACAGATTTGTGGTTGCCTGGGGCTGGGGTCGGGGAATGGAACATTACTTCAAAGAGGAGTAGTAATATGGGGTAATTTGGAGGGTGACAATGGAATTATTAGTTGTTGGCTGGGATATGCAAGTAGGGAGCCTGTGGCCCACTAAGGGTATTGGTCAGTTCTGTTGTTTGACTACACTTAAAAAGAGTCAATCCCCATCTAGGGAGAAGAGCATAACCAGACTGGGGGACCCTATCCAGAGAAGCAGCAACACCAGAGATGGAGACATGGAGAGAGACAGCAGCTGAGGACTCCAGACTCATGGAAAGAGAAAGGCTGTGTGCTGGCAGTCAGGAAGCAGGCTAGCAGAATGCGTCCTTTGGTTGTTTAAAAGAGTATATAATTCCTGAGTGTTTTTGTGTGCATCCCCTTTCCCCCTGAAAAAAAACCCCAGAGGGAAGAAAATACTGTTGAATGATGATACACAGAGGAGACTGTAATCATTGCAATGAAACGATAAATGTAAAACTGACATTCCCCCATGTAAACTACCACTCAATTCACAATAAAAGCTTTAAAAAAAAAAAAAAAGGGAACAAATCTTTACAGTGAGGATCATTTCCACCCCCTTGATACACAGGGTAGACAGGGATGGACAACTTGGACACTGGCTAACCAAAATGGGGGGGGAGGGGCTCCAAAGGCAAGAAGTGACTGGCTTACAAGCTTTCAAGAGGGAGCCTAGATCCAGAGGGTATGGAGGAAGGTAGAATCTCCTCCATATCCAATCAGTCTAGGTGGGGCTGATGAAAGGAGGTGGGGATGGCACACAGGTGGTACAATAGTGAATAATTACTATCAGGACTGACTGTGAGGGTTGGAAATGTAAATGCAGACATTTTGTAGCAAAAGGAGAGGAGTGGTTGACTTTGCAGGCCAGGAGCAGGAGTGGAGGCCCCTGGGACCAGCAAGGGAGAAGAGTGGAGAGTGGAACCCTACCCAGAGAAGCAGTGACGCCAGAGATGGAGGCAGAGACGATGACATGGAGAGTTGGAGTGGCTGGGAACTGTAGCTAGACCCAGAGAGGGAGAGGGGCTGTGTGCTGATGACCAAGGGGCAGGCTTGTGGGGTATACTCTTTGGTTGGTTGATGATGCATAGAGGGGATTGTAACCATGGCAATGTAACAATATTGTTACATTGGATATGATAGGATAAACGTAAACCTAATGTTCTCCCATGTAAACTATTGCATAATTCACAATGAAACTGTTAAAAAAAAGTGCATTAACTTAGTTAGATCCAATAAATGTACTTCAAAGGAATTAGTCTGAAGGTTACTGCATAAGTACATAAACGTGTTTGAAGAACAATCATTGTACCTTGCTATAACATTACAAAAAACAACCAGAAACAATCTATCCACTATTAGGGAGCTACTGAGAGGGAACTATAAAGGAGCTCTGGTGTTGGCGTGGGTTATATGTTGGGCTACTAACCACAAGGTCAGCAATTTAAATCCACCAGATGCTCTACAGGAGAACAATGAAGCTTTGTGCTCCCATAAAAATTTACAGCCTTGGAAACTGTATACAGGGTTGCCATTAGTTGGAATCTACACAATAACACATAATCAACCAACCATGGAAGCGATTACATATTGTCTGACTCCATTCAGATGAAACATCCAGAACATATAATCCAGAGACAGAAATCAAGTCAGGCTAGTGGTTGCCATGGACTGGGGAGGAAAGACTGGGGAGTGCCTGGTAACAGGAGCAAGGTTTCTTTATGGGTCATCAACACAGTCTGTAATAAGAAAGTGGTGATGGTTGGATAACCTTGTCAATGCACTAAAATGCACTCACTGACATATTCTTCAGGTGAATTTTAAGTTTTGTGAATCATATCTCAAAACCCTCCCATCAAACAAACAAACAAAAAACTACAATGAGAACTTATAAAAAAAAAAAAGAATAAATAAAATCTTACTTTGGATTTCCTAATGGTCCACCTGCAAATTGGGAGTTTCTGTCAAGAAATTCTTGCAAACCTTTTAGTTCCTGTAGCACTGACTCCAGAAGTTGGGAGGGAACACTACTTTCAATCTATAAGAAGGAACCATGAGATGCTAAGTGAATAAAGTCAAGATACCAACAAATACTATATGATCCTTAAATCATACACCAGAATAGGCAAATGCACAGAGACCAAAGTAGATTAGCAGTCACCAGTGGATAATGGGAGGAGGAATTAAAATTACTACTTAACGGGTTTTGAGTTTCTGCTGTTTGGGGTGCTGAAAATTGTGGAAACACAGTGGAGATGTCTGTACATTGTTAGTGTAATTACTTCTACCAGTCTTAAACCTCATAAAAATGAATAAACACTATAATGCTGTTGTTAATGCTAGCCAAGTGGGTTTCAACTCATAGCAACCCTGTATAGTTTCCAAAAATTGCTAGTGGATTTGAGCTTAAGGTTAGCAGTCCAGTGCTTATCCTATAGCGCTACACTAGGACTCATATACTATAATCACTAGCTGGTAAATTCAAAACCAGTAAAATGAAAAGTTTCACATTGTATACATTTACAATACATTTTTTTTTCAAACAGGTATAAGTTTCAAAAGATTAAAAACACTGAAAAGGAATAGGAAAATACATTACTTATTTACATATAATTGAAGACAACCCATATTAAACGCACTGCAAGGAAGTCAATTTCAGCTTCCAGTAGCCTGATTCTGAGACTTTATGGGTGGAGCACACAGTGCTATCTTTCTCCTATGGAGTTTGTGGGATTAAAGCACTGACATTGTGTTTAGTGTCTCAATCCTAATCCACCACACACCCACAACGACATTACAAGGAAGATATGCGAGGAGGCTTCAAAGTTCATAGAAAAATGAAAGTTTTCCATGGAACCTTTTGAAGCTCCCTTGTATTACTCTTCCTCATTTTAAAGCAGTCTCTAAAATGTTAAGAAAATTAACCATGATCAGACTAAATCACAGAGCTGAGATTTAATCTAGGAAGTGAACAGTTTAATGGACAATTGTACAAACAAGAATAGACAATAATTACTGTTTCTTGTTTATAACATGAAGAAATGCAACACAATCTAATGATCCTTTAATAGGAAATCACATAATAAACTGGTAATATACTCACAGCAACGATCTCTCTGTTGCCACTCTTGAACACTCTCTCCACAACTAAACTAGCATCCCAAATGTTTCTGGAACAACAACAAAGCATGTTTTATTGTACTTTCAATGAACACAAACAATTAGAAATGTAGGAAATTCCTAGTACAGAAGCTTAATATGTTTATTCAGTTTTTAAAACTTAGCAATAGTTTCATTTAGCATTTTATTAAGTTAGCTAAAAGAATGGAAAATAGAAGAACTTCCAAACCAAATATAACAAAATTATTTCAGATAATGAAACACTGCTGAAGAAAAATCAAAAGGTTCTACATAATGAATTATAAACAAGGGAGGGCCAGAGGGAAAAAAATATCATAAAGGAGCTCTGCATTATTTCACACTTTAAAACAAACACCTTAAATGTTAGCAAGTCAAATCAATGAAAAATACATACCAGCTGTGACAGCTAATTAGCTGGTGTGGTAAACTGATGGCAAAACAGGCCACACAATTCTTTTTGTCCCTGTATTTATCCCCTATTACAAAGTGGTTTTGAAGCCTCTCCCATGAAGGCCAGCTACTGCGGAGTCAACACCCATGTGTCACAGTAGCACTGTGTTCCACAAAATTTTCAGTGGCTGAACTTTTAGATGCAGATTGCCAGACCTTTCTTCTGAGTTGTTTCTAGGTGGACTCAAGCTTCCAACCTTTTGGTTAGCAACCAAGCATACTGACCATTTACACTACCTGGGAACTCCTCACATAAAAGTGGAATCTACTTTCCCACATTCTGAATCTGGATTGGCCGTAAACGCCCCCGTGGACAAGTGAATGGGGTAGAAATGAAAGGCATGCCAGTCCCAGGTCTACCACCCATAGGCTCTGCACACTTCTAGTCCTTCTCACTAACCTTAACACCATCAAGATAGGCCCTGCCTCGCCTGCTGGAGGAGCAACTGTGTGAGAAGAGTACATTTGCCCTGGTTTAGTCCATACTAGACTGACCAGAAGCACTAAACAGGGAGAACATCCAGTAAAATGGCCAACTTCTTCCTACCTCCAAAGTAACTGTACACACATGAGATGCCCAACCAATCCAAAGGAACTGCCCAGCTGGCCTGTAGATGCAGGTAATGAGTTATGTGGTAGTTTGTAATGTTAGCTATTCTTGTGCATGCAGACATACTTTGAAGCAATATATATGGAACACAACAAGTAAAAATGGTTAGATAAGAAAAAGGCTGAATAGAAAACAATGTTTATTAATAGACAAGTGAGCCAAAACTAAAATTTAATACAAATAAATCATGGCCCAAATTGAGATTCAAAAAAATGCTTAAAACAGGACAAGGTGAGCAACAGTGTAATTACTCTATGAAAAACTTACCCCATAATTCGAGAAAAGTAAATGCAAATACCATTGTGTTTTCCCGAGTACACAATCTCTGGGCCAGCCATACAGCTCATACTCGTGACCTGGGCTGCTGGACTGCCCGCTGCACACACTGGTGTTGACATGGAAGTGGGCTGCAGACCTGACACACACAGGAAAAACCATAAAGAATTCTCAGTCACCACAGCTGCTTCTATCTGGACCCACAGAAAAGGATATTCGTACAATTACTGACAGAGTTCATTTGGCTTTCTTTAACAAACACTGAGATTAGGACTTGGATGGGTCCTTCTAGATGGACTTTTCAAATGCCTACAGTGCAGGAAGGAAAGGAAATTTGTGATCATTGCTCTTAAAACAGGGAGTGAAGAACTAATCAGAATGATTTCAGGGTACATTCAACTTTGGGCCCCTAACAGGAAGTTTTCCAGGCATACCACACAAAAGGAGCTCCTAGACAAAGGCATTCATGGGCAAATGGCAATACTTGCTTTGATTTTATTTCTACTAAACCTTATCATTTTGAAGTGAAAAGGACAAATAAGTTTGTTTCACAATAAGCATTATGGGTAAAAACTCACAATGTTACTTCTTTAGAAAGAACCGCAATCTAAACCAAATAAAACATGTACCTTGAGATGGTGTTCCCAGAAAGGTTGGATTTGGATACGGACTACCACTAAGTACAGGAGAACCTAAAATAAATACAGAGATTTCTACAATTACCTCCCAATATTTTGAATACAATCAAACAGCCACAGAAGCTACTTACCAGCATCAAAGTGAGGAGGGCCACTTTCCATCATTTATTCCAGAATCAGAGGCTTATCTCAACTGCCCAGAAATTAACACCTCACTAGGGCTAATAATCCCCATTTAGCAAAACAGTGATGGTATTAAATCACTCATCTCATTCGCTTTATACAAATAAGTTCAATAAATACTACTGGTTACATTTTGTTTTGTAGCAAACATTAAGGATTTCAATACTACAGAGGATTCCACATTAATATAACATCAGGTTTAAGTGCTAGGCATCCATTAAAATATGCTATACAAAGTTTGTAAATTTTAAAACATTTCAAAGCTTCATACTCACTAGAATAGACAGGAGACCCCAAGATGGGACCAACATTACTGGGAGGGGGAAGAGTGGTTGGAAACCGCATCTGTGCTTCACCACCATACCTGATTTTAAGATAACACAGGCTGCTATAAAAGTTGGAATGGCTGCAAATTTTGCTTAGTTTAAAAATAACTCTAAAAGTTAGCCATTATAATGAATCATGTTGACAAGGGAATATACATATATAACACATAATAAATACTTATTCAGTAAGGGTTGACTTGAAACTGCTACTAGGAAGAATTATAATGGCCTTTGCCAGTTTCTAAATAAATGCATAGAATTGACTTAATGATCAATGGCAGTGCATTTTTATAGTTGTTGTTAAGTGCCGTCGAGTCAGTTCTGACTCACAGCAACGTTGTACAGGGTTTCCAAGGAGCAGGCTATGAGGCAGTTCAAACTGACCTTGCAGTCTAGTGAGTTAACCTGCAGCACCACACCAGGGTTCCACACTAAACAGTATTTGTTAATTTTTAAGAAAACACATCACATCTTAAATTATCTAAATATTTTTCAAGTAAAAATGTCTTTGAAACAGAGTTCCCTTAAAATGATTCAGAATCTTTTGCCACGAATGATCCACAGAAGCAAAAATGACTGTGTCTGAGAAAGTAAAATTGATAGAACTGGTAACTGAGGTAGCTAGAAGTGCAAACAGACGGCTAGAAAGAAGGTAGACAATTCAGAGAAAGGGTATGAACATCTGATAACCATATCTCAAATTATGCTAATCTACCTGCTTCTATAACAGCATTGTAATCTTTCTAGAGATCACCCTTTTGCAAATGAATATGAGGAACTTGCCTATGTAATCAACTGTTTTTGCACAGTAAAATGGGCTGAAATTACCATACATCAAACAGACTACATACAGTTTTATATTACGCATGGGAGTATCACAATTACATGGGCCAACCCAGACATTTGAAAAAGTGGTCAAGTACAGAAGACAAGTGACATGTACCTGAAGAAAGATCGAGTAGCCCAAGCAGATACTTCTCTGTCACAGGCAGCAGTGGAGCAAGCAAGGATAAGGCAAGTTGCACAAGCCTGGTCTTCCTGTTAAAAATCCAAAAACTTCTCTTATTTTAAACATAAGTGTTGTAAAGAAGTTATACTGTTGTGTCAGTGTTTAGATCTGTACCTAGAACATGTTCAATAAATATTTGCTAACTGAATGAAATCAGTTTGGAGAAAAAAAAAAACTGAACACTACTGCTTTTCAAGTTTGTCATAAAACCCACCACACCACAGAGTTGACTCTAATTCATTGACCCTGTAGGGAAAAGTAGAACTGCTTCATAGCATTCTAAGTCTGCCACTATTATTTCTCCTGCGGAGTGAAGAGGGGTTCCAAACTGACAACCTTTTGGCGATGATTGTGGTTAAATGCTGCCAGGTCAGTTTTGATCATAAGGAACCTGTACAGTGTTCCAAGGAGCAGCTTGAACTGCTAATCTTGGTTAGCAGTCCAATGCTTCTTCCAGAGTGCCACACCAGTTTGGGTTAGCAGTTACTAAACGATGCTCTCACTCTCTCTCCGTTTTGTAACCAAAATTCAAATTTAGTTTCTAGTTTATCCATGCATCTTCTTACCTTTTAAAGAACAATTAATAATGGCCAACATTTGTGTGCTACAACACAGCAGGTTAATGTACCAGACTGCAAAGTCGGTTTGAACCGCAAGGTCAGCAGTTCAAGCTCACCAGTCGCTCCCTGGAAACTCTGTACAGGGTCTTTATGAGTAGGAACTGACTCAACGGCAGTTAACAACAACAACAATATGTCCTAGGCATTATTTTAAGAGTTCAACATCTATTTAAAAAGTATTTGGAATATGTGGAAACTGAAGTCTGGAGAGTTCAAGTAACTTGTCCTAGTGGTAGAACTAGAATTTTTAACACAGGTTGTCTGAGTTCAGATTTAATATTTTTTATTTCAAACTAAGGATTCCCAACTTACCAGTACTGTCTCAAGCTAATTCCTGGGGGTCATTAAACAAAAAGAAAAACAAGACTTGTTCATAAATGGAATCGCTCTGGTGGCACACAATGGTTGAGAGCCCAACTGCTAGTCTTAATTTAATGTCAGGGGTTCAAACTCACTAGCCACTATACAAAAGAAAGATGGAGCAGTATGCTTCTGTAAAGATTTCTAGTGTTGGGCCAGTTCTACCCCATCCTACAAGGTCATTATGAGTCATAATCAACTTGAAGTCAGTGGGTTTGCGCCAAATGCCTTGTGCTTTCAGTAAAAATGCACTTACCATATTATATGAACATCAGACTCATATTAATACACTCTAATGATTTATTGAGATTTATCAAGAATAATAATTTGAGTTTACTATGCTGGTATTAAGTGTCATCAAGTCCGTTCCAACTCAACAGCACTTAACAACACTTTGGTTTCCAAGGAGCAACTGATGAGTATGAAGTGCTGACACTATGGTTAGCAGTCCAGTAATGACCTTACAGTGCCATACCAGGATTCCAGAATTTATTATAAGCTCTACAATATATGCATTAATCTTTCCCCTAAATATTACCAAGCGGGTAAAAAAGGAAGATTGGTAAAATGATCTATTTATTGCAATAGCTTGATACTAATTTATATAAAATTAACTATCCTTTCTGTCACCCTCTGTTAAGATATTATCACCTTAAAAATTACAAATAAATACCTGATATAGCTTAAAGAATCTTTCAATCTCTTCTCCATCTCCACCCACATTACTCACAAGGAGATGCCTTAGTTGATCTACAGGTCTAAGTTTATGAAACATAAGACTCCCCTAAAAAAGAAATGAAAACAGAAAACATGATCAATAGACTTGCCAAAGCTGGCTGGTGACAATTTCCTTTATAAATGTCAGAGTGGGTAAATTTTAAGCTCTGACATAAATCCCAAAAGAGAAACTGATAATTGACTACTTACAAATTATTCCCAGAGAAGGGGAAAAAAAATCACTGAAAATACTCCCCCACCAAAAAGATGACTGGCTTATCACATACAAAACATACTATAAAGTTTCATACTATACATAGAAAATGATTAAATACCTTAATACCTCAGTGAAGCAAAGGAGAAAAGTTCTGATGGAGATTTAAGTAGATGTTTAAATTTACTATATGATAAAAATCACCTCCCAAGCCAGGTTAGATTATTCGTTAATCATGTTGGCACAACGTATAGCAATTTAGAATAAAAATTGTGTTGAGTCCATAGTCATACCATAAACCAAAATAGATTCCTCAAAGTTGTAAAGAACAACAGAAAATGACAAAAATCCTAAAAGAAACTATTGGTGAATTCTTTTATAAACGTTAGAGTGGGTAAGTTTTAAGCTCTGACATAAATCCCTAAACAGAAACTGATAATTGACAACTTACAAAATTATCTGCATGGGGAAAATCTCAATAAAATAAGTCAGACAAACCATGAAAAACTATTTGTGCTAAAATCACAAAAAGTTAGTTTCCCTGATACACAGAGTTTTCATAAATAATAACAAAACAAATGGCAAATCTGAACAGGTTGTTTGAAGAAAATTCACATTTAAAAAAGGATAGTTAATCTTACTCTTAATAAGACAGCATTAAGTTTGGAGAGGAGGGAGGAAGCAGACACATACCATGTGAGAATGTATTGTGGTAAATCTGGCAATATCTATCAAAATTATAAATGCATATACCCTTTGACCCAGGCAAAAGTCTTTAAACCGTTTTATTTACACACATGCAAAATGTACACACTTGGAGCATTATTTTTAATAGCAAAAGGTGATCCATTAATAGCAGCCTAGTTAAATATAAGTGCATTCATACATTCGGATGCCTTTTAAATGTAAAAAAGAATGAAAGTACTTTATTTGTTGATATGCAACAGCGCCAAAATAAACAACTGAGGTATGAACAGGAAGGCATAAAATACTGTATGTATGTATGCTAACATTTGCATAAAAAATATATTTGACTTGTCTGTTTATCCAAAACATATCTCTGAAAGGGTACAAAAAATTGTGGCAACAACCTGTATCTCTGGAAGGATACAAAAGATTCTGGTAACACTAATAAAGGGAGAATTTTACTGTTTACACCCATCTACCTTACCTTTGAATTTTTGTCAATGCACTACAATTCAGATAATAAGTATTAACCAAAGGTTTTCTAATAAATTAACATGAAAACTCTAATGATTTGATTTCATTGTTTTTAGCAATGAAATTCAACTCGCAGTAGTATATTTCATGTCCCTGAAGACAAACTAGCAGCAGAAATGCTAGGAAATATGTAACATTTTCAAACAACTAGTTTTTTTTGTAGGATTTTTGGTATTCACAAACTACTGCTTAAGAATGTAGTAAGAAGAAACATTCTTGCATACTTCAGCAGTTGACTGCGGAAATTTGAGTACTACAGAGAACATGACGGGACCATTAAGGATCCCGTCTCCTGCTTTGCCACCGACCTGTGCAGAGAGGAGAACGAACTTCTTTGGAGGCAACATGTGCTGCTGGACAACAACTGGTGAGTCAGTGATTGGAATCTGATCTTTATTTAATGGTGTAATTATCTTATCTACTTTCAATTCATCGATCGCAGATAAAGCCCAGGAATGACCATCAACTCGGGTTGTCATCTGTAACAAAAAAACGAAACAAAATTTTTAAATTACTTTGCTGAAATTACAAGAAGCAAAACCTTCAAAGAAAAAAAACCAAAGAGGTAAATTTTTCTTTTGCAAAATAAATGTTGTTTTAAACACATGGAAAACCTGTGCCCGCCCCCAAGCCCTAAACAGACTACTGCTATTCATAAGGTTTTCAGCGAAGTCCAGGTGTGGCACCACAGACTAAGCATCTGACCTCAAGGTTGGTTTGTATCTCAAGGCTGGCAGTTCAAATTCACTAGTCGCCCCTTGAAAACCCTGTAAAGGTTATGAGTCAGAACCAAATAGATGGCACAATAACAACCATTCAGAAGCAATCCACCTCTCCCTGTTCCTAGTGTAAGCCTGGAAAGCTCACTAATTAACTGTCCAGTTCTTTAAATCATCTTTTATGTTATAAATTATGTTTTAATACTAGAAGACAAAAAGAAATTTTTCTCAAAATACACTGGGTATGATTTACTAGAATCACAATTCTTTCCATAACCAAAGACTGCCTAGCTACTTCCTACCATCTTTCCACGATAGATTAACTTAACACAAGTATGGTTAGTATTTGTAGTTGCTGACATGTAGATTTTTATTGATTTCTAAGGCTCTATCTGTTTTTTAAGCAGACATTCTATTTTCAGAGTATTTAAGCTTGAAGTTTGGGCAAGACAGCTGATGCTCTGCAACAAACACATGGGAGAATAAGTGAAATAGATATAAATGTTGATAATGAAACCCTACATTTCAGAAAATAGGACACAAGGATTGACTGAGTGCTGATTGGAAGAAGCTGAACAGAAGCATTGAGAGAAAAGAAAAACTGGTGGCTGTCAGCTGGATAATGCGCTGGACTGTAAGGTCAGTTTGAGGCACAAGGTTGGTGGTTCAAATCCACCAGCCCCTCTTTAGAAACCCCACATAGGGTAACTATGAGTTGGAACCAAGTCAGTACTCAACAACTGAAACAGAGGCCTGCAAGCACAGGATGCAATTGGAGGTGGGACACATGGCGTGGGGATGCAGTCCTCTCTTGCCCTCTTGGTGGCCAGGGATGCCCTGCCATGGACACATAGCAGCTGGTGGCATCCCCTCATATGCAACCTCAGCTGGGGTTGGGCACTGGGCATACCACCCCTTCTGGAGGTATGTGAACACGCCCTGATTACAGTACATAAACAGTCAATAGAGAACTGCGTTCACACTTCCAGTCTCTATCACATCCACCAGGAGACAGGTGGTGAGTGCCTGAGAAGATATCAATTTATAGTCATCAATTAAATACTAATACAATGACACTACAAGGTTCCAAGACAAACAATTTCAGCTTACACAAAGAAATACGGCAAAGAGCCTCAAACAAGTGACCAAAATACAGAGTCAAAGAATATACCAGAAATGGTATCAGAACTACCTGATAAAGAATTTAAAAGAATGCTATTTAGGTACCTTGGATGAACTTAGAGAAAGATGTTGACGAAAGCAAGGAATTAAGGAAAACACTACAAAAAAAACAACAACTGATAAAACAAATGAAACATTGGAACCCATACAAAAACAGCAATTGGAAAACCATTAAGATTAATACTAAAACTTCAGAAAAATATCCATTGAAAGAGCAAAGTAGTAGAAGTGAATCAATGGAAGGCCAAATCAGTGAGTGTGAAGACAAAATTCCAATATTATCAAGAGGAATTCCAGAACAGGGGGAGTGGGGAAAAAAAATTGTCCAAGAGTTGCTGGAAGAAAACTTCCCTACCATCATGAAGGATGGGAAGACAGCCATTCAAGAAGTTAAAGAATTCAAAACAGGATAAATCCCAAGAGAAAATCACCAAGACATAATTAAACTTTTCAAAACCAAACACAAGCAAAAAATCCTGAAAGTAGCTCTGGAAAACTGAAAAGATACCCACAAAGTAGAACCAATACAACTAAGATATGATTTCTCAGCAGAAACCAGGCAAGCAAGAAGGAAATGGGATAAAACGAAAGAAAAAAATTACCAACTAAGAATCATAGCGTAGTGGTTATGAATTGGGATGCGAACCTTAAGGTCAGCGGTTCGAAACTACCAGCTGCTCCGCGGGAGAAAGATGAGGCTTTCTACTCCCGTAAATATGTACACCCTCGGAAACCCTGTACAGAGTCGCTATGGGTCGGAACCGACTCGACGGCACTTAACAACAACAAGAATCATATATTTAACCAATTTTCTTATAATTATATAATACATAAAATTTATATAAATGTAATATATTACTATGTATTGTCATTGTATAAGGAGTCCTGGTGTGGTGCTGTTGAATAAACACTAGACTGCTAACAGTGGGTTTAATGGTTGAGGCCCACCAGCTGCTCCTTAGAGTCCCTGTACAGGGTCACTGTGGGTTGCAGCTGACTCAACGGCACTTAACAACATCACTGTATATGTGAGGAGATTTTAAAAGGTTCATGGGAAAATGTCATTATTTTTCAATTCCACTTTTTCCACGAACATTTTGAATTCCACTTATTTAATAAATATGAAAAAGAACAGCTTATACAATTAAGCTTGCTGAATAGTTGAATACAAACATTTAAATTTTTTTTTATCTATTTACGAATATCTAGAAGTTTTGTTATTTTGGGTCTTTTGTCTATGAGCACTAAAATTTTTGTTGGAAAAACAAAAAAGAATCATAAGACTCATATACCCAACAAAACTGTCCATCTAGTGTAATGGCAAAACTAGGTCATTTCCAGATAAACAGAAATTAACAACCATACCAACTGAACAGACAACCAACAATAGCAGACAACAACCTGAGAATAACATACATGACAGTATCAGCCAGAACTGAAACCAGATAGATAAGGAAATATTCAAAGAAAAACAAACATATAAGACTGAAAATAGGGAACCAGAGATAACAGTCTGCAACATCAAAAAGTAAAAATGAATAATGTAGTCACAGAGCTTCTAAGTGAATGGGAAATTAAGTCGATTTCAAGGAACAGAAACCCAAAAAAACAAACCTACCAACTTTAACACTAAAACTAGATCAAGCCTTACACTTAGGCCAGGCCCAACACCTTCAACTAAGACTGACGATAATCCTAGTAATAACCGTAACACTAAACCAAGTTCTAGGCCTTGCCGAGACCTAGTCAGAGTTCTAAATCTAACTCCTTACTGCTACCCACCTCAGCCAAACCCCAACCAAAATATATAAATAACATAAACCGTTAAAGTCTTCTTAAAATTTCATGTTAATACTCAATACCTAGATTCTACAATTCTTAGTATTTACCATACTTGTTTATTTCTAAATATTTTTCTTCTATTGAATCATTTGAAAAGTTACAAACATGATTCTTTACTCCTAAATGAAAAACACATACATTTTCTTTTGCAGTTTGTTTCCTTCTTTTGTTTGTAATATAGTTCAAGTACTAGAAATAAAATTATATAATCTCGACTATTTGTATTTAAATTACAGCTATGCACACGTATTTGTGTTTGTGCATATATATTTGCAGGTAGAAGAGATGAAATAAGATGAGAAGATATTTATAATTCTGAATGTGGGCTTCTATTTTACTATTCCTGCTACTCTTGCGTGTGTTTAAAAAAAATTTATATTTAAAAAACTTTGAAATTTAGGCAAACTATGAATTTAAAATATCTTTAAATAAAATCCTAAGTCATGACTAAATGAAGGATGTCATCATTAACAAAAAATATGATTTAATAGGAATAAAAAATCATTATAAAAATATACATTTTCATTATTCAATAATGTATTTTCAGATACATTATAAAAAACTTCCTAAAATGGTTCCAAAATTTTCATAAAGATGTTTTTAGTGATGACCACAATTTGTACTCTGACCCCCCCCCAAAAAAATGATATACTTCTTTTCAACATGATTTACACAGACTATTAAAAAAGAACTGTAATAATTTAGATGATTACCTTCTAACATATTATTCTTCACTTAAAATTATATCAACAAAATTTTTTTTTCCATAATTCTGAAGATAACTTACTTGGGTTTCCATCATTGGTTTTTGGAAAGGAAATATATCATGGTTAATACACCACAAAATATCATTATCTTCATTCTCTGAGGCTGCCATCAATAAAATACCTAAAAGTTTAATATACAAAGTTTTATAATACAAAGTCAACGTAATACACAAACTCTATAATACTAAAAATAGTCACAATATATACATACACATACAAAACAGCAATACATATTAATTAAATGAGCAAACAAGTATGCATGAGTAAATAATCAAATTATGAGTAGAGGTGTGTTCTGACTCAGAATGACCCTGTACCAGGTTTCAAAGGCTTTTTGAATCTTTGCGTGGATGGCTTGCTGACCAGAAGATGATAAAGAAGTATGATACAGGGAGCAAGCATAAATTGCTACAACCTGGTCAACTGGACCCTTGATTATGAATGAGGCTGCTCAAAATTCCAACCATACAGGGAAGGATTCTCCATTTCACGGATAACCATGTCTCCTCAGTACACTGGGTTGACAAAACTGGGTGGCTATAAAGCATGAAGTGGCTGATTTACAAGTTTTCATGAGGGAATAGTTCATCTTTCATTTCAGGAATAGAGGACCCTAGGACCATCAAAAGGGAAGAGCATGAGTGGACCCTAATCAGAGAGCAGTGACACCAGAGACGGAAGCAGAGGTGATGGCACAGAGAGAGAGAGAGGAGCTGAGGACTCTAGACCCGTTGTGTGCCCATGGGCAGAAGGATGGCTTGCAAAATGTACCTTTTGGTCTTTTAAACAAATATATATTTTCTGTGTTTTGAATACATGGAAAAAAAAGCAGGGGGAGGCAAATACTGTTAACTGATGGCATATGGAGAAGATTGTAATTATTGTAATGAAACAAAATATGATAGGTTGAGTATAAAACTGATGATCTGCCATGTAAACTATCACTAAATTCACAAAAAAAGCTTTTTAAAAACAAAACAAAAAAATACATAATGTCTTTATCAATTTTAAGAAACCAATATTAAATCTGGGATACTTAAGAACATACCTTTACTGTAAAGAGCTTTGTGTACTTTCGAAGGTTTTTCCACAGTTGAAGATGCTGAAAATCCGGGAGGTAAACGAATATGAACCAGTGTCAGGGTATTAGGCCGTGCTAATGGTTGTCTGAATGGACAGGTGCTGAAATATAGCCTTACACCTGATGAGGGGGAAAATTATTGTATATATCAATCACAGAAAACAAAGGATCTGAGGAACATGTTGTTGAAGCAATTCCAATAGGAACACAGAAGTCTGTTTAAAGTCATTTATGACTCTCCTGACTGGCTTCCAATCACCATATAGAATACTAGCTGAAACAGATTTCTAAGAAAATGTCACTGAGAATTGAGAGGTCAATCAACTCATTTTATAAGAACTTGCAACTACATACTTGCAATCACAATTAAGGCATAGTGACAGATGTTAGCCATCTTGCCTTTCAGGCATGGTTTTACATCTTAAAAGGAAGCAACAGAACTAATGGAATCTTCCTATTTTCAAAATTCTTAATTGTATGAATTCTTAAAATGGTTTGGCAATTGATACAAAAGTCTGAACTTGGATTTCTAATAAAACTTTAAAAACTAAGGATTATCAATTATGAAAAATTTTAACAGTGCTGATTGCTACATAACATACAATGACATACCTGCATGTGTGACAGCCAATAACTGACAATCAAGTGACTCAGAATTTTCAATCACTGCTATTTGAACAATTGGCTTAAAAACAGAACGATCTATGGTCCTAAAAAAAAGGAAAAAATTAAAAGGTACTTTTTTTTTCTTTCTGCCATTGAACTGATTTTTTTTTTTTAATGTTTCATTGTGAATTATGTGATAGTTTATATGGGAGAACATTAGTTTTACATTCATCCTATTGTATATTGTTTCATTGCCATGGTTACAATCCCCTCCATGCATCATCAACCAACCAAAGGGTATATACTACAAACCTGCCCCCGAGTCGTCAGCACA